TGATTTTTTGAAGGCATATGTGCTGACTTTTCTTTTAAAAACATAGCTTAGGCTTTTTATATTAACACAATTCAAGTAAAGCTTCCAAGCTTTGCTGAACACTTCTACCTTTCAGCCTTTGCAGAAGAGGCAAGGCTCTACCACAGAAGGCTGTGGGGTTTCCAAAGGAAATAGCATCTGGATATTTCTCCTACCCCGGCAAGGCTTACACAGCTTGTTCTAGTGACTGTCCATTTAGGGAGATATATCCTGATRGTTAAGATATCTGTGCTGGATTTGGCTGAAAAGAAATCATGCTAGTCTCTTACTGCAATGCCCCAGATGATGATAATTGTGTTCTGGCAGGGTGAGGTTGGCTAAGAGATGTCATAGCGAAGAAATCTAAAATCTGGTARTATAGACAAGGAAGGAAGCGGACAGAGAGCTGGTCAGATCTGCAATTCATGATGTAAAAGTCTTGTTATGGGTTTCATAATTGCTTAATGGTGCATTTAGCCATCTCGCACACAGGCTTCTATTGACTTTATGTTGGTTTTTTTATTCAAGCAGAAGAAAAGCCACCATAAGAAGCCAGCTTAAAGCACCATAAATACATAAAAGCATTAGTCACGTATACGAGCATTTTGGAATCGTTTCTGTACTTTGACAGTAACCTAAGAAACTAGGTATATTTCTACCCTTTTAATGAGTTAGAGAAAGAATTCACCAGGAGAAAAAAAGTTGTCTGTCAGCCTTCCTCACCCTAAAAAAACTTAGAAGATTTTATCTAAGAAAGAGTAAAGTGAATCTAGTTAATATTAAAATCTCTCTGCAGCAGGTGTGGAAGGACAGCCTGCCTACACCATCTACAAGCTGCAAACACACTAATACTCTGGCATTGTATTCTTTTCACCTCTGTGTGGTCAGGGGTCCAGGAGCTGATCAGATTTATATCTTTTTTAGAGAGGTTTCTGATAGTCTGCTGACCACAGACCCTTCTCTTCTTGTTGCGGTCTTCATCCCAARAGCAGGTTTCTGACAGGTAGTTGGACCTGACCTGTTTGTCTAAGGGTTTTCTCTTTCCCCTGGTTGTGGTGAGGGGCCGGGGTGGCTGTGCAGTCCCACTAGCTCAAAATTCAAAGTGTTTTAGAAAGCTTGGAGAAGTTTTTGCGTCCTTCACAACAACCAGGTTTCAAAGTAGAGAGCGGTCATTCAAAACATGTGCATTACTTGTGCGCTTATATGGAGTAGAATCGTATACATATCTCCATAATTAGCCACGGGTACCTGTAATTATAGATGTAACCATGCATTAAGTGGAGGTCATCACTGTGTATGAGTCTTGCATTCACAACTGCGTTCCTGCTTGCTTAGATTTCAGGGCCCGTTGTCCAGATGGACTCTGGGCACCTAATTAGTAGTTAATCAAAAGCTCCCGCAGTGAACTGTCTCCCAGCCCTCCTGGAATCCCAGCTGCTTGGCACAGCCTCCCTGAATACATAGAGATGAACATGGCCAAGTTGAAGCAGATGCTTTACCTCCTTTCTACAGCTGATATATTTGAAAACAGTTTTCAAAATTAAATCCCTTCAGGGTGCATTCGTTATCTGACTTCTATGTAGCTAAGAGCAGAGCTAGCCTTGAAATGCTTAAGTGGAAATACAACCATGTGCTAATGATAATGATAGTGTAATACACTAGGAGATGAACTCACTGTTTTCTCTTTCCTTTCCAGATTTTGGCAATCATTTCCATCATGTTTATTGTACTATCTACAATTGCCTTGTCCCTTAACACACTTCCTGAACTACAAGGCATGGATGAATTTGGGCAGACCACGGATAATCCCCAGCTCGCCCATGTGGAAGCCGTGTGCATTGCATGGTTTACAATGGAATACCTCTTGCGGTTCCTATCCTCGCCTAAGAAATGGAAGTTTTTCAAAGGCCCATTGAATGCTATTGATTTGCTAGCTATCTTACCATATTATGTCACTATCTTCCTCACAGAATCCAACAAAAGTGTACTTCAGTTCCAAAATGTACGAAGAGTGGTCCAAATCTTTCGGATTATGAGAATACTCCGGATTCTAAAGCTTGCCCGCCACTCAACRGGTTTACAATCCTTGGGGTTTACACTGAGGAGGAGTTATAATGAGCTTGGATTACTCATCTTGTTTTTGGCCATGGGCATTATGATCTTTTCCAGTTTGGTGTTTTTTGCAGAAAAGGATGAGGATGACACGAAATTCAAGAGCATCCCAGCTTCTTTCTGGTGGGCAACAATCACTATGACAACAGTAGGCTATGGAGACATCTACCCCAAAACACTTTTAGGTAAAATAGTAGGAGGACTGTGCTGCATCGCTGGTGTGCTGGTGATTGCTCTTCCAATCCCCATTATTGTCAATAATTTCTCTGAGTTCTACAAAGAGCAGAAGAGGCAGGAGAAAGCCATTAAGCGCAGGGAAGCTCTTGAAAGAGCAAAAAGGAATGGCAGTATCGTCTCCATGAACATGAAGGATGCTTTTGCTCGCAGTATAGAACTTATGGACATTGTGGTTGAAAAGAATGGAGAAAGTGCAGCCAAAAAGGATAAAGTTCAGGACAATCATTTATCTCCYAACAAGTGGAAATGGACCAAGAGAACACTCTCTGAAACTAGCTCTAGTAAATCTTTTGAAACTAAAGAACAAGGATCTCCAGAAAAAGCCAGATCCTCTTCAAGTCCCCAACACCTGAACGTCCAACAGCTAGAGGACATGTATAACAAAATGGCAAAGACTCAGTCACAGCCAAATCTTAATACTAAAGAGTCGAGTCAGCCTGGAAAACAAAAGGAAGAGTTAGAAATGGASACCCTTCCTGGCCCTATGGTGCCCTTGCTGACCACTCGCGCTGATGGGATCATTGACATGAGGAGCATGTCAAGTATCGACAGCTTCATAAGCTGTGCTGCAGAGTTCCCAGACTCCGGGAGGTTTTCCCACAGCCCACTTGCTACCATTCCCTGCAAGAGTGGTATCAATGTGATTCAGGAGCAGAGCAGGCCAGAGGGGAGTGGTGCCAGATTTGTGGAATTAAATCCGAGCTCTGAAGGCAGCCACCGTTCTGCTTTTTTCATAGAAAGTCCCAAAAGCTCCACAAAGTCCAGTAACCCTTTAAAGCTAAGGTCTCTGAAAGTCAACTTCATGGAGGAGGACACCAGCACATTAGTACCAGCATCAAATGTACTCAGAATATATCCAGACTCTCTCAAGAGCAGGGGAGCTGCTGCTGCTGCCACAGATACTTCCTTACTCTCTGACAGATCGCTAATGAGTCCAGAAACCTCCATCTACACAACTGCGAGTGCTAGAACACCCCCAAAGTCACCAGAGCAGCAGGCAGCGGTAGCTTTCAACTTCCATGATGCTGGTATACATAAATATATAGATGCTGACACAGATGATGAAGGTCAACTCCTTTACGATTCAAGTCCTCCTGGATGTCCCCCAGGAAATGTGAGTCCTAAGTATGTTACAAACAGTGGTTATCTAAAGCAAAAGGACAATGTTTATAGAACAGAGAAGAACCATCTAGAAGCTGCTGCTTTACCCACTTCTCCTAAGCTGATAGGGCAAAACTGCATTTACTCTATGGAAGGTATCACTGGAAGAACCCAGGGCAATCAGGAGACTGTCAGACTAGAAAATCACATTTCCCCAGAAGTCCATGTATTACCAGGTGGGGGAGGACATGCTAACACACATGATCAAAGCATCTGAGACATGCTCCAAAAGAACTTACTGAGAGCTTAAAGGAATGTCTTTACAGTCAACACAAAAAGAGCTTCTGCATGGCATGAACTTGGCTGAAACGAGCCACCTGTTTCTAAGTCTGAGGGGAGGTCCAGTGTGGGTGTGTGAAAATGTCCTTCTCTGAAACAACTCTAAAGACGTTGCGCAACCCAAGCGCTACAAACATCGGTCAGAAAAAAAAGGATTGCAAATCATGACCACACATTGATCTCCTTTCATGTTGTCCAGTGAAGCCAATGTGACCAACTATCCATCCATTCCCCTTGAACACTAGAGCTCCTTTTGGAAATATTAACATCCAGTTTGCATTAGTTCCATAAAGGATGCCAAGGCAGCCAGATTTGAACTCTGGAATAAATTGCTGGGGTTGGTATAAAGCTATCAAAACCACAGTGCTCACTGCTTCAGGGCAGCTGTTCCCCATTTACAGCTTTCTCTGATGGATATTGTGTCTAAAGGTAACAGGGAACACATGCATTTTTGGAAAATCCAAGTGAAAACCGTTTAAAACAAATAGTGGTCTAGAGAAACCAATTATTAAAATGCTCTGTGTGTATTTAACAATACAATATCCTGTAGGACCTGACATTTTCTTTTGAAATATCAGCAGGGTGAGTTGCACCACTTGTATCTAACTCCAAACATCCCCTAGGACGTAGTGAAACTTGCACTTACCCTCTGCTAAAATCGATAGCTACCCTGGGGCCTGTGTGCAGCCCTCAGGGACGCACAGCCCACGCTGGGAAGGTGGGAATGAGCCATGCAGAAGCAGGAATCTCCGGAGGCAAYGCAGCCGGAGCCACTTCCCGGGGCCGGGGGGAGCGGGGCTGGAAGGAGAGCTCTGTCCTCTCCAGGGTGAACGCGGAGCTCTTGTCCTCGTCCCGGGCCCGCGGGAGGCTTGGGGCCTGGCGGCGTGTCCCGCGCGCTGCGGCCGGTCCCTGCGGGCAGTGCTGAGGGCCGGGCCAGCTCCGGGGGCGCCTCCTTCCCGCCCGCGCTCTGGCTGTAGGCGCCAGCCACCATCTCGGCCTAGGAGAGGAACGGGTCGGTCTGAAGCTTTTTGCACCCCGAGCGGTGCGGTGAAAGATATGCAAGTGTTACACAAAAATATGCAAAACGAGGGGTTCTTTAGTCGCCTGCCGCGGGCCTGGCTCTGCTCTCCCTTGCAGGGCTGCTGTTCAGCTTGTGGGGCGCCGCACGCCAGGGCCCCGCGCCCGCGAGAGGCAGCAGAACCAGACCTGAGGTTTTAATAACATCCAGTCATTTTTAAGCAAAACAACAACAAAAGTTAAGATTTGACCGTTTTAAATGAACAGAACTAGCAGCCACCAGCCTAGGTTTTTAAGATATTATTGTTTCAATAAAGTTATGTCAAATTGTGTAGGAAATAATTTGTCTTTGGTTTTTTAATACTGGGGGGGAAAAGCACTTTATGTTGACTTTCTGTTGTCGTTGTTGCAATGCTGGAGTAGGATAGCAGAGTGTAACAATCAAGCACTTTAACCAAGCACTATTTTAATTTGTGCCTCCTGTCGTGACCGTGATTTGTTACACACCCGTAGCAAGTCACAACCTGTCCTGTGATAACTGTGATGGTATTATTTTATGTTGTATCTGTTTCTACTGTAAAACTCGACTGTAAATAACTCTGTTGATAAGCATTTCCTAACCTATTTCTAAGTACCTGCCGGGGCGTGTAACTATTTGCATGCAACAGGTCTTGGAATGTGCTAATAAACGGGACTCTAGAGGATGCACACGCTGGAGGAAGATCATACGCCACTCGAGTCCGCTACATTTTGTTCCTTTCTACTGTATAAAAAAAAAAAAAAAAAAATGCAACAGGTCTTGGAATGTGCTAATAAACGGGACTCTAGAGGATGCACACGCTGGAGGAAGATCATACGCCACTCGAGTCCGCTACATTTTGTTCCTTTCTACTGTATAAAAAAAAAAGAAAAAAAAAACAACAAAAAAAAAAAGCTGTTGGTTAGTCCTGAATGTAAATGTCTGTCCGTCCAAGCTGTACAGTACTCTGTCTGTAATCAGTAATAGTGAATGCAGCATGTACGGACAAAAGCAATAAGCACATATATGTTGTAGGAGCTATTCTGGGGTATGACGATAGCTTTGTTAGGTCTCTCCTCGGCACAATACTGTACACACATTGGGATTAACTCAGCGGTTGTTCAGCCGATCCCGCGTGGTGGGACACAGCCCATGGAGGTACTTCCTTGCAAGTCGTACTTGCTTCCTCGAAAGGCAAAACCCTGGGTAAGGCACGAGCAAGAACTGAGCTACAACCTCACGAATTAGCCTGCTGACAGCAAGAGACCTCATGTCGCGCAAAGAGTTACACGGGAGGTACTTGAAATAAGTTAAGGTATCTATGCTTGCAGACTATACTCTCCAGAGTATTTACGCAGGGCCAATTCCTGAGGTTCCTCAGCTTTTGCTCCGTCTTCACTCARCCAAAACCACCGTTCATCGGAATGGGCTCTTTGCCTGGTGAAGGACTTTAGGATTTGGCCATAGTAAATACAAGTGTACTTAGAGGAACYGACGTATTGCTGAGATACTAGTTAAGATTGAGTCATTACAAAAAAAAAGTAAAGTGACTTTCCAGCAGATAAGCTTTAATTACTGATTTATTCTATGGCTTCCAAGGCCGTAGAGTGGCAATGAGAAATTTAAAGAGAACAGTCTTAACRTAATCTCTGTTTCAGTGATCATTCATGTCTGCCATCAGCACAAATGTAAAAAGATAAGAAAATCAGGGAACATTTTTTTGATAAAGTAAATAATAGTGATTTCCAAGTTAACTATTTTTAGAGCTGATGCTTTCATGTGGAGAAAAAGTCATATTTTACATGTCACAGAAGCGAATACATTAAAATATAGCCATATAATGTAGTATTTACCACACTTTCATCCAATTGGTTTATAGATGGCACTGACAAAAATGTATAGATCAACAATTCTATCATTTTTTAACCGATAATCAACTGGTGCAACTCTCCTTGTAACCAAAGGCCCTCTCTCTGCCTTGTGTGATCACTTATGACACACACCTTATATCATCTATTTAGTCCTAACTTTAAAGTAGCATTTTATTGAGTCACTTTTGAAAGCCAAATTCAAAAGTATCATGAAAAATCTACCTTTTAAGTCTGAATAGCCAAAGTCCTATAGATTTCTTATAGAAAGCAAATAATTTTAAATTAAGCATATAATATGCTTGAAGAGCATTTCTTTCTTATTTGTGTATGAAGATGTAGCTCTCATTTTGTGCCCAGTTAAAAAGGAAGTATGTTTAATTTATTTTAATGAAATAAAGTCTGACTATGAAGTATGTATCTATATATGTGTGTGTCTGCATAATACACATATATATAATGTAAGCACTGGGAAATCTACTCTAAAATAAAGTTACGGTAGACCAAATCTGTACTCATTACAAAAGGGAAGGCAGTGCTTTGAAAACATTATGCTCACCAAATCCTATAGATACTAGAAAGACAATTTCATTTTATASTTTGATACATATTTCCCAAAGCTCACCGAAGTAGGGGAAAAGAATATGCAATATCTCTTGCATCAAGCTAAAATGTGCAGTTCACTCACTGATATTTGGCATTCAGGTCTGTGAATTTACTGTGTATCGTGTACCAAGCAAGCTGACAGAGACTCACCTAATGCTGCAGTAGATGTCATATCTGAAAGGACTATGTATGTGTGATGTCTGTTCTTGCTTGTATTTTACACCATTAATGTCATTTTTAATATATATATATATAAATATATATATAATATATATATATATGCGGAAGGAATGGGTGCAGTTTTCTTAACCAGGAGGCAAGGATCGGTTGAGTTTTAGCCTTGAGCAAAGGAAAACAGCAGTCACTTATTGCAGTAGATTTCTCAGTGCCTTTTCTTAGAAACTTCACCTAAGCACACTTAAAGAAAAAAACGAGAGAGTCTCCTGTGAAATCCACACTTGCTGAAAGGTTTGAGAGTCTCTAAAGGTAGAAGAAGAAAACAAAAAGATGAAAAGAAAACCAACGGAACGCACATTCCCTTTCTGAACATACCGTGTGTCAAATGCCGGGGAATATTTGTCTGTGCAAGTCAACGCAGAAACAAATCCGAGGCGGATGGTTTCTTTGGCAACTATGGCTGTGATAAACTGTAGCCTTTTCTTCCCTTGCAGCTAATAAGATACACATTTCTAAGGAAAACAGTATTCTCTTCTGTAAAATTGTAATGTATTGTTAATATTTGTACCTATTGTATATTTATGTCTTGGCAGAATTATGACCGGTACAGTTTATAGTAAATAACAAGGGTATTTAAAACTCACTGCAAAGACAAGGTTTCTAAAGCCAGGTTCTCTCTCTATTGGCAAGCTCCACGCCACCCTCTCCAGTGGTTTTTATCACTCCATTTGAAAGCAAGCGATGGAATCGTTGGATAAAGGAGCCCAGCGACGGCCGGGCCGGGCGCCGCGCGGGGAGGCGGCTCCGCATCAGCTCCAACACGGTTTCTCAGTCATCCTGCTCTCAGTACCCACAATGACCAAGCATTACCTTCGATTGCTCTAGAAGCACCCACCTGGGGAGAATATGGCTTTAAATAGTTCTTGAACAAAGTACAGATGTTCTGGTTACCTCTGTACCTTCTGTTTGCCATTGTGTTGGCTTTATAAGTACCTGATGTATGGAAAAGTCATGTGACTTTCATGCATTCCAGAGTAGTCTATTTTTCTGTTCAGATTTAAAATATATATATATAWAAAAATATAAATATATATCTGTATTTTTAGCAAATTTATAATAGGGCAATCAAGTCAGATTTCTTCTTTTTTGTATTACGGAATATATTAGATGCTTTCTTGTTCTTCATTAACATAGCTGATCCCCTACTCTTTTTGTTATTATTTTTCCATCCTGAAACTGCCTGCAACACCCATCCTGGAAGTGCGTCTGCGAAAGGTCACTGAGTTTGTCTGATGTTGTCATGTGTTTGTACTTTCCTGTTTGTGGTACTTAAAAATAACCAGGGACTGGTTAGGGAAACTAAGATGTTCTATCCGAGAAACACAGAAGAGGGTCAGACTAACCTCATTTATGGCAGTGCAAATGTCAGCAAGTGTCACTGGCTTCGGTGTTACCCATACCCTGAACTTCAGTGGAGATGTCCCAGGTTTCCGTAGGTTAAMGAAATAGCATAAAGAAGAGATAGGATTTGAATGTGACTGTCCCRGTAATTGTGATGGAGCTGGGATAGGCATCAAAACTGAAAGTTCAGGGTATTCTGTCAAGAAAATGACCTGATAATGCTCAGGTAAAGCTCCCTCCAAAGAAGTCCCTACCTTCTTGGGAGTTTGTCCTGGCTTAAGACGAAAGRGTCAAGACTTATTTCCCAATGGGGTTGAAACTTCTACTTTCAGTCACAGAAAAAATTCAATAAATGAGGAAAAATAATGAAGGAATAAAATACTGAATGTTCCATTCATAGATGGACCCAGTTTGGAGTTGGCCAAGATAAAGTCCATCCATGTACCTGCTTACTTAATGATCTTGCTTTAAGGTCACATAAACTGAATTAAAAAAAAAAAATCCATAAGCTAAACATGTATCCTGAAGCTATCTTATGGCCTGTTGAAGTCCAGCAGGACTTTTGCCCATGTTAGACCTAACAAAGAGTTTCTGACTTCCCCATGGCTCTGCATAATTATTTTATTTTGAATCAGCCCAGCAGCCTTGTCAATGACTGTTGCTTTTCAGAGAAGGAATATTGGTTCTCATTTCATTTGTTAGCCCAACCATACATTTACAGAGGCCTCTCTGTGAGATTTATTTATATGCCCACCAAGCTAACCACTAAATCAGACACAGAATTCATTTGACTGCGCATATGTTTCAAAAAGCCTGGATAACAGCTGAAAGAACAGTATAACTGGCAGACACAGGTTTGCATGTGTTTATGCATGATTATATATGAGGTTATTAAAACTGATTTTTTTGTTTGTTTGATTGGTTAGTTGGAGTTTTTGTTTATTTGTTTTTGAAAGCAACTAATGCAATAGCTCTTTAGGTCTATCTATCTCCATCATCAAAGATGTCCCTTCAAAAGGCACTTTCCATATCAGTAAGCTTGAAAAAATTCAAGTAGGCTATAGGAAGCTTCTGCTCATACCAGTCTCAAATTTGGCCTGCAGATAGTCATCCCACAACAGAAGAGAAACGATCTAAATGCCAAGCAGCCCATCAAAGCAGAGATGTTTCTTTTCCTGCATGTTTTGTGCCCCATCCTGATCGTATTTTGGCTCTTGCACTAAGTCCTTGTCTTGGTCAGACAAAGGAACCCTTAGGAAAACTARAGGTGGTATTCAGGATGTGTGTCCCCTTTGTTGCTGGTGTTACCTAAGCCACAAATAAGTGTCCTTTGACACCAATGGTAGGGTGCCACAACTGTTCTTACCTGTAAATAATACTCAGAATTTTGTTTTGCTTGATTTTGGCTTCATCGCACAAGAAGTCTTCTTTCTAGAGGCTTAGAAGAAAAAGCTCCTTTTTTTCAGTAGCTATAATACTACTGATATTCTGTAGGAAGGAACAAGGATTAACATTTGACACTTTAAAAGAGTTTTTTCGATACCATAGTTACACTGCCTTCAAAAATAGCAACCAGGCTGGGCTCAGAACAAAGATCTACCCAAACTAGAGCCTTGTGAGAAGCCAGAGAGCCTAATTTGTCAAAATCTTTGCTGCTGTAAGTAATGATCCGTGGATATCAATGGAGTTGTGCCCATTTAGCCTGGTAAAGAATTTGGACCCATGTCTGTAAAAGCTAATGGCAAACTAAAGGCTCTGCATGACCTCAGGGATGGAGGTGTCTGTCCATAGCACCTACAAGAAAACCATTTGGGAATGGAAAGCAGTATCAGTTCATCAAAAGCATGTGAAATGAGATCATTCTCCATAAAAGAGGGTGGTCATTTACTTCCTCTTGCTCATCACACTGTGTCAGCTCATTCTTCGTTGGTTTGAAGCCACAGGTAGCAACCCAGACACATGAGCCATGGTCCTTGCATTAGGATCACATGCTCAGACACATGGTTCAACCCTGCCAGCCCTTGAACCCAAGACTTGCTGATGCTGAGGTGACACTGCCAAGAGCTGGGTCACCAGTTGTTGGCAGATGTTGACCTTTGCCAGTGTCACACACATTTGATTGGTAAACTGTGATCAAAACCATTTTAGAACACATCATTTCTGCTCTGCAATCTATTTTTCACTTAGATTCTCTG